GGGGTGTCCCTGGGGAGCAGCCAGGCCATTGTCCCCAGTGGTACCTCCCTCCACAGGACAGGTCTCAGTCCAGCGTCACCCTGCCCAGGCGTCCCGCCCGGAAATCTCGCAGGAATTTGTAGGCAGCAGCTGGGTAGTTGAGCATTGTCACGTTGACGTTCCCTGTAGAGAGGGGCGGTGGGCGCAGAAGGAGGTATCAGCAGAGCCTGGAGCTGTCTCCAGGATGCCCCTGCACCCCAGGTAGCAGAGACCCCCCTTGAGCACTCACCCGTGCCTGTCAGCACCTTCACCTTCTGCGTCCTGCCCTGGGCGAGGGCCACGCACCTCAGCACAGGCTTGATGTTGTCACAGGCCTCAGCCAGCCCGTAGCGCTGCACGTACCTGCCGAAGAGGTGGCTCGCACCCTGCCAGCACTGCTTCTCCCCCCGGTTGCCCGGGGATGGCTTCTCCACCACCCACGTGGGACCACAGGCAGCAGACACAGCCCGGGGCCCTCTCCAGTTCCCCTGCCAGCTCACCCAAACTGCTCCTGCTTGTTCAGGGCATACAGGAGGTAGTCAGCCATGATGTCCTCCCCCACCAGGTGGTCACGGATGGCTCCTGGAAAAGAGGGTCAAGCCCCAGCTCCCCCCAGCCCTGGTCACCCGTCCTGCCATCCATGTGCCACCCATGGGCACCCCAACAGCGTGTGCCAGCCCTGTGAGCTGCATGCTCCTGCCCCAGCCTCAGGCCCAGACAGGGCTCAAAGCCACCACGTTGGGCGTCCCCCCCACCACAGCCTCCGCCTCACCGCACAGCGCCAGCTTCATGCCCGTCTCCACATCCCACAGCTTTGGGGGCAGCACACCAGGTGTGTCCACCAGGTACATCAGGGGCTTCTCGCAGACCTGGGATGGGAAAGGCAGGGTAGTCTGGACACAGGGCTCTGTCATTAGCACCGTGGACGCTGACCCAGCTAGCGAGTGAGGTGTTTGAGCTCTTTTGTTAAGGTCTCGCTGGAAAGGGGACCCGAGCAAAACCTTGAGGTGCCTCAAGATTTTCCAGAGCTCCTGTGAGAGGATGCAGAGAGGCAGAGGCCAGCACCCACCCAGCCAGCTGTGCCGCAGGGACAGTACCTGGATTCTGGTCAGCACCGCCTTGGTGATGCCTGGCTCGCCACCAACCGCGGTGGCTTTCCCTTTGGGGAAAGGAGACAGAATCAGAGAAGCAAGTGACGCTCTGCCCTGCCGCCTGCTCCATGGCTCATCCCCACGAGAAATACCCTTTTTGAGGTGCAGCCTCCGCAGGGAGTTGATAAGCGATGACTTGCCCACATTGGGCACACCAATCACCAGGATGTTGTACTCGTTGCTCTGGAAGCAAGGAGGACATGTGCAGGGAGCGGCCAGTTATCAACCACCCGCCCCAGGAGTGACGGGCAGCCGCGAGAGCGAAACAGCCCAGCCTTGGCCTGCGCTTCTGGCACACGTGCGAGCAGCCCTGGAGAGGGGAGGTGACCTGCTGATGGCCACCCCGACTCCCTGCGCAGCCACCTGCAGTCTCGCTGCCTTGTCTCACCTCGGCCCTGTGGTAGCGTGGGCTGTTGCTCACCAGCTTGGCAACCAGGGGAACAATCTGCACACAAACATGGAGAAGGGCTGGAAACGCAGCTCTGTGCCCAGGCTGGCACCAGCCTCTCAAGAGGACACTGTGCCAGCACGATGCGCAAAATGGGGGCCAAGCAGCAGACAGGGCGCCTTGGGTAAGCTGGAAATGAAGATCACTCCTGACCAGCCAGTGTCACCTCCTCACAGTGGGGCACTGAGGCCTCTCTGTGTGGCTGGGAGATGGGTGCACAGCCCTCAGCAAGGAGCAGGGCTGGGCACAGGACAGGGCAGGATAGGGCTGGTGGCCCATTACCTTCTTAATGTTGCCATCGTGCTGGCAGTCAGCGAAGACAACGTTTGAGCATCCCTGCTGCTTCAGGTGCTCCAAGACTGTCTGAAGGGGACAAGCATGCTGGTACGGTGACCCGTG